GGAGCTCCTGTGGGAGATTATATTGACGAGATCAAGGAAGGATGAAGATAATCGTTTCTCTTATCAGCAATCGAGTTTCTCGGTACATCCCGAAATTTCCAAACTTTCCCGTTTGTCACACAAAAACATCAAAAACGTCAGGAGCTTTATCGCTCGGAAAAAAAAAAAAACTTGTGTTCGATTATTGGATCGTACAAATTTGTGACACCGGTCGAGCCGAGACAGATGGTTTTAATGCGCTTCGATCAAGATCATTCCACCGACCACGCGTTTTCGTCATGGCGGTTTACGTAATAAATTATGCGAAAAAGTATAATCTCCGTATTGTTTACCGAGGGAAAATGTCTCCTTCACAAGCAAGATGATCTTGCTCCGTTCGTAAAGTAAAAGAAAGAAAGGGGTTGAACGAACGAACGAATGGAATCGACCAACTCAACCCCTATATACAGTATATGCATTCATTCATTTTTGTGAATTACAGTACCGCATATACGATCACTTTTTCGACAATAACTAATTATGGTGCCCAAATGTTAATCGAGTTTACCACAAATGGGATGTGCCTCGTTTTGAGAGCCCTATCATTTACTGCTGTATTATTATCATTATCTTTACTCTTGATCTGATGTTCATTTATCGCACTTGCAGGCGTTTGTGGTTTTCGCATAACGATGCTAATAGAGAACAATGTTCGAGATCTGCTGTGAAGTTAAAACAAAAACAGAATGCGTGAGATTTTTTCAACAGTGACGATACACACATGAACTTACTTAAAATTCTGTCTTGTGATGTTTACCCGACGGTTTAGGCTGTTATGTAACGTAAATCGTTTCACACGCAACGACCACCTCTCGATACTCGTTCAATGTGATTTCATGCATACAGGAATTTTGGGTTTTGATCCTCTATTAAAAGGAAAGAGGACCTGTACACAGCACCTCTTTCTTTACACACACAAACTTTGCCTATGAATCGCGCGTGAGAGTTTCCAGATATACTGTACATGTTGATGGCAATTATTACCTTTTGCATGCGAGGACATGGAACATGTGAAAATCTGATCGTGAGGTTATATACATATACAATTTTGGTTATCATTTGCCGAAAACTCTTATCTAACAATAATGTTACCAATCGTGATCGCTACAATAGACAAGTTTACAATTATTGACCAGGAACCAACACCGGTAAGCGAGCACGTGCAATAAAATTTCTTTAATTTCCAACTAAATTGACGCTCTATAATTGGTGAATCACATAATAGCTTTTTTGATCATAAACCGTGTGTCTCATATTATATCATAACCGTCCTTCCTTAATCGGGAAACACGAGGATGGAACGAATGATTTCTCGATGATGTATAAGGAAATTCGTAAATACAATGTTTTTTAACTCCACGAAAACGTGTTGATACAAACGTAAAAAAAGCTTTAACCCTTTTGAAAAACCGCAAAGGCGATGCGCATACACACACAGGATCATCCCCATACACTAAACTGTGCTATCAAACTCACGTAATTATGTGCATTCGGATCATGTATTCTCGGGTTTACATCGAATTGTGTTTAAAGATGGTTATGTGACATGCTGACAAACCTCGAGGACCTTTCCCATTTCCGGAATTCCCCTCGCAAAATATAGAAATTTCGAGCGTGAAGAGTGGGTCTGACAAAGATAACGTGGTATTTATCGACAATTCATTTCGTAACTTGGTAATACACGTATATGAATATCAAATTTCGTGAAGTTGATGTCATTAATATACTCTATATATAGCAGTAAAAATAATCCAACAAACTTTAAAACGATGCATACATTTATTTCAATTGATTAAAAAAAACTTTACTGTAGTAGTAAGCACACTAAACTTTGCCTTTGACTCGAAAGATCGATTAGATATACAATATATGCCGTGTCTCGGCGTTCATGTGAAAGGCTTGATGAATAATTGACGGTTACATAAGCCAACCCAAAATTCATTTGATTAACTGATATCAATTGATGAAATTGACTCGATAAAAAAATTTTTTTTAATTTTTAAATAAATTTATTTATTTATTGCATTAATCATCATACATGTTCATTACTGTATATACGTGTTGTGTACAGTATATACTGTATTCACGCTCTGTAAACTAATAATGGTTTATCATCAAATTTATAGTATGCTTATAATTTTGTAAAAAAAAAATTTTTTTATTATATTCAAATTACTATTATCATTAATTTTTGTAAAAAAAAAAAACAAAAAATTTTTTTTAAAATATATATATATTTGAGTTAGATTTGTTTAAATGAATTTTAATTGATATTATTAAATAGATTAGTTGATTTTTTGTTATAAAATGTTTTTAAATAATTTGAAATATTAAATAAATCATATAAATATTGTAATTCAATATATTTAGATATAAATATAAATTGATTATTAATAACAATAATAATAATAATATAACATGTTATATACAGTTTATCTAAAAAGTCGATAAACAAATATTTTTTATTTATAATTTGAAAATTTAAAATTATAATATAAAAAATAAATAATAGGTTTTTTTAATACTTTATTAATAATAAATTTATATATACATTGTAATTAAAAAAAAATTTTTTTAAAAACTTTATATTTTATATTAAATTTTGATAAATTTTTTTAATCAAAAAATTATTTAAACAACTTGAAATTTAGTAAATCAATATATTTAACAAAAATCTATAAAGTAAATTTGTTTTATATATTTTTATTAAATATATATTTAAATTGTTGTTTTATTTTTATCAATAATTTATTGAATTGGAAATAAAAATATAAATTAAAAATTTGGTTAAAGACTTTTTAAACAAACTGTATATTAATTTGTTATCATATAATAAATATATTTTTAAAAAAATCTTATTATAAAAAAAAAAAACTATTTATTGTTCAAATTTAATTTCAAAGATAAAAAATATTAAAAATATCAAATTTTTATTTAAAAAAAATTGAAAAAAAACAATATATATATAATATTTAAAAGATAATAATTGAATATATATAATTTTTTTATTTAATTATTATGGATTATATAATTTTATTTATATTTAAATTTTAACTTATTAAAAATAATAAATATTATAATTTAAAAATTTAAGTTATAATTAATAATTAATATTATATTTGATATATAAATAATTTAAATAACTGAAATTTTAATTACAATATTTATTAAATTAATATTACTAGAATTTATACAAAAATTTAATTGTATAATATAATAAAAATAATTAATATTTTATATATTATAAATTTTTTGATAATGATAAGTTAATTTC